TTTATCGTTCTGTCAAATTTAATTCACATATTCAACTGATGTCTGTATCTAACTATGTAAGTATATATGTATATATGCATGTATGTAAGTATGCATATATATATGTATGAATATATGTACATATGCATACTGCGATCGCAGTGAGGCTGCTATTCGTGGAAGTCGTCACTTTAAAGATGAAGACAGGAATTTAAAAATATGGCTAAAGGCGTCCCCGTTGAGCTTACTGAAAATACCGACAGATAGCTCGATTTGACGTGTATAGATTGTGGTAGAGTGTGTTTGTCGATGGCTAGTCTAAGGAGTCACGTGAGAGCGCGCCGCCGGAGGGTTGAAATTGATTATAAAGCCGTAGATGTCAAACAACTGAAATGTGATATTTGCAGCAAGACATGGGCGTCCAGAAGTGGTTTCATGCGATATTTTAAATTGCATGATAATGTAACACCCGTTGTTGCACCTCTTAAGTGCCCTGTGTGTGCCAAAATATGTAGGCCCCTAGCTGGGCTAAAGTGTCACATTCGTCTGCACATCAGTAGATATTCTCCAATAAGATATGGAGTAATGGCCGTACTCGGACACAAGTTGGCAACCAGCATGTATGCATATATATATATATAATATATATATATATATATATATATATATATATATATATATATATATATATATATATATATATATGTATTTGCCCAATACAATCGGATATGTCTAACTAGGTGGGACTGCTCACACAACAGAAATCGCATCAACGCCAACAGTCTATTGTATATGTATGCTTTGAATGCCCGACCTGCACTAAGATGTGCAAGTTCAGGTAGGGACTGGCAAGGCATATGAAAAGGCACATTGGAAATGATGATGATCAAAGTCAACTTTCAACAGATATGGTCGACTTAATATACATGTGATTACACGATGTTTTATGTCTGAAGAGTTGGTGTCAGCGTGCGCTATATTTTTTACCCAAAACCTGTGAGAGATATTCGATACACAGCAATTTTCGCAAGCAGTAGATGTTTGTTCTAGCACGAAGTCACAAGTCACCGTGTTCGAGGGTTTTGACCTTACTGGTAATGTCCACACTACTAATCATGTTTTGTATTATATATATATATATATACACACACACAGGGATATTTGTTATATAATGCAGAAAAGTACTGTCTCAATTTTTTCTTAAAAGTTTAACATTTCACAATGTTAATTTGTATTATTGGTATATTTGACAAAATTTATATTATCTTAGATTATTATTTCCACGAGTACATTCAATATTAGTACATTCGTTTAGAAGGATTTTTCTCTGTATATACATATATATATATATATATATATATATATATATATATATATATAATTTTGTCGATACTTTATAATGAGTTTCCTTTGTCTACTTGCAAACATTTCATGCCAGAATTAAAACAATTAAACAATTTAAACAATTTTCCCTATAATTTATACTAATATCTACTAATATCGTGTATATTACAAGTGTATGATCCATGCTAATGCACATTTAGGCATACTGAAAAAAATTCAAGAATTCATATTACCATTGCATATATATATATATATATATATATATATATATATATATATACCTTTGACGACGCAGTGTCCAATTAATCAGGGTCTTAAGTGTATCCATTTGTACTTGTGCTTAACCGTATTGACTTACGTATGCTTTTAAATTAATGTCCTTCGCTGTTAGTTTTCCACAATGGATATTTTAGTGAATGTGATCAAACACCAACTTCCACTGGTCAATACATTATGTCCCTATGGCCTTCGGCAATTCAACTTTGTCCGCACTCACCCATTCCGTCTCAGGAACGGTCCCCCATCACTTTCATCGAAGGTTATTGGTGCTTACTGCTCTCCTTTTGAAGTTTTGACATTTAACGCCCGCTGCTCGTCTGCACCAATCTCGGTGCTTTCGTCTTTTGGCGCCAAAAATGTGGATGCGGCACAACGGGCACTGCACTTTGAAGTTTCCCATTTGCGTCCTTTTTTGGACGCTCTTGGAGTTCCATACATTCGAATCTACTGCTGTAGAGGACATGATTGGTTGTGTTTTTCTTAACCGACATTAATTATTATCGAAATGGTGGCGGTAGGTGTGTAAATGGTCCCTTGTTGATTTGTTTTCGTTTTAAATGTTTAATTGAATGGGGAATAAATGTGTTACCACTTACATGAAGGAGAAATTAGGCACAAGTTAAAATGACTGTCAGTTTCTCTCAGTTCATCTGCAAATCACTTTATCTATCTATCTATCTATCTATCTATCTATCTATCTATCTATCTATCTATCTAATTTCATCCTTATATATATATCTCCATAACTCGTCTGTCTATCTTTCTAAATCACTGCACTCCTACCTATATATCTATGTAGCTATCCAATATCATCCCCATCTCTCGTTTTCGATCCCTATATGTCTATCTATCCCATTCAGTATCTATCTATCTATCTATCTATCTATCTATCTATCTATCTATCTATCTATCTATCTATCTATCTAATTTCGTCTTTATATATCTCTCTCTACAACTAATCTGTCTGTCTATCTTTCTATCTCACTGTACTCCTATCTATCTATCTATCTATCTATCTATCTATCTATCTATCTATCTATCTATCTATCTCAACACACTCATATCTATATATTTATGTAGCTATGTAATTTCATCCTTATCTCTCTTATTCAATATATATATATATATATATATATATATATATATATATATATAATGCCTTACTACTCATTTTCTCAGTACACCACTTTGCTAAGGAGCCTGACAATACACGTTGCAAACACTTGCTTAGATCAACCTGTGATTCATTTTCCAACTGTACTGAGCAGTAGTTGTTTATAGGTATATATATATATATATATATATATATATATATATATATATATATATATACACAAACATATAAATATAATATATATATATATATATATATATATATATATATATATATATTTAAACGTTTTTCCGGTCAAATTTAAAAACTGTTATGTAAAATATTGCTTAATGCACAATGTAAAAAATGAAAAACCGAGAGATATGTTTATTTATAAAATATTCAAATGAAGAATTAATCACAACTTATGCTACTTTGGTTTCGACCGCTAAGTTTTCTTCAAGTAGTAAAGGTTAGTTTTATTTCCTGAGAGTTTTTTTTATTTCTTTGAACATGCTCAACGGAAATTAAAATTAAAGTGGAGGAGTCAAGCAAGATTAGCTGGAATGCAAGGAACAGTGATGGAAATTATCATTAATAAGAAGGATTATTAATAAGTCGGGGGGCAATGTTAGAGGGGATGTAAGAGTGGGAATTGTATATATATATATATATATATATATATATATTATTAATAATAATAATAATGAAAGAAGGGGTAAATCAACATTGAAGGAGACGTAAATTAAACAATGGTAGAGGAAATGTAAAGAAGGGAGAAAATTTTAATCCTAGGAGGCCAGACAAAGTAAGAGTATAAGGAATTTCATTTTTTATGGTAGTTTTCCATTTGCTGGTACAACTGTAGCCTATTTTCACGGTGTTTCTAGTGAAAATATTATGCAATTTCTAGAGAATTGCTTATCAAGCGACTTAAAAAAAACCAAAAACTTTTCCTTATGTTTGATTTTAATTTCAAATTAAAGCGACAGTGGGCGGTTAAAACAAATTATATTTCTTTTCATTTTGGCGTGCACCATTGTTTGATGATTCTGGTGTTTGAATTCAAGTTTTCTCTTATACCTCTCATCTATTAACTTTCTTTCGTAAACATTCTTTTTTTGTTTCCTCAAAAATAATCTTGTGTGAGGAATTTCTTGATATGCTGCAATCTATAAATTTTGGAATATGCTTAATTAAAGCTTCAGGGTGTAGTGATCCAGCGTCCACTTATTTGAATATGTAGTTATTGTCATATAAGCGGAGACGCTGTCATATTGTAGATTTAATTCTATTGGACTACTTTTTTTAATAAAATCAACCTCCTTTTCAAAACCTGGGCATTTGAATTATTTAAATTGAAGTTTCGTCTATTTTTATCGTTGCTTCTTCTATTATTTGGTACTACCGTCAGACCCTCGTCCCTATATAGTCCAAGATCATTCATATGGTCTATTTCTATGATCGTACTTAATATGTAATGGCCCATCAACTGAGAAAACTCAGATCTATAGTATGAAACTTGGGTGACATCAAAAGCAATTTTGTCCGTAATTTTTAGCCATGTTTCGCCTTTGTGTAACAGAACTGATTTTCGACTATGTAGTATTATTTCTACTTGCTTGGGTGTTATTTCGACATAATCGTTAGCAAAGTTCAATGCTTCAAGAATGCCTTTGTTTAGATATGGAGAGATAATTTGATGAATTGCAGCCATAATCCTTGCCTTCAATTCATCTTTGGTGCTACGGCGAGTTTTTTGGTCTCTAGATAAACTGCATCTTACACGTCAAAGGTTTGCAGTCTGGGAGTTAGGTGGCCAGATGTAAAGGATGATGTGGTTACAGAAATTGTCTGACAGCCATGAATGTGTTCTCTTGCTCGTGTATTATAATGCAGAGTCCTGTTGCTAGAGATTGGGTTATCCAGCAGACACGCTCTTGACCAATGGCGGTACTACATACTCAAGGCACTTGGTGCAGGCCACCGTACTGAGCCTGAGACCTTGTGAGAAGATAAATGGAGGCATAATGATGCCATCACTTGCGCTCACTCCAAATATCTTTGTAATCACCATTAGACTCATCCAATCTTTTCCAAAACCTCTGCACTGTCCTCAGATTGACATCCAAATATTCTGAAATGTTCGTATTGGAGCCAAGAAATTCAGCATGCTGTTTCCAAATTTCTGGCGGAAGGAATTGTATCATGGTGCTCTTCTTCTCACAGAAGGTGCCTAACAGATTCTACTATACTGTGCATTTGACAAAATCGGAAACAAACAAAGCGCATGCGCGAAATGCAAAATATAAAATAGCGACAATTTACCCATCGCACTCTGTATATACACAGTAGTTGAAAATATGTATTTATTGAGATGAAAAATTTTTTATCTCTCTTATTCAACGCTGTCTTTAAAGTATTATATTTAAATATTTAAATTTAATGTTTTGCAAAAGAATATAACATTAATAAAAAATGAGGAATAAAAAATATATGAGTTTAATGCTGTACACATAATAAGCGATTTTATCTTGATATAATTGCAGCAAATATTTTAAACATCACCCATCAGCCGGTTATGTGGTTGACACCAGAATCTCAGATAAACTATCATTTAGGAGTAAAAGTATAAAAGTTCTAATAGGAAGTTATATCTATGTGTATATATATGTATGTAATGTCGATAAAAGAATTACCAGACATGGAATCTCAGGAGAATCGTTAGAAAATCCCAGAAAACGATGCCGACCTGTGAACTCTATCATTATTATTAAGATGAAACAAACTCAAGGAATAAATTTGGTCAAGTCAGTACAAATGATCGCGTATTTTCAATGTGACTATATATATTGCCTTTACAAACTCATAGAAAATATATATTAGTTTGTTCTTTCATCTTGTTCGGGTCGATAAAATTCTTGGACGAAATCGGGAACGCAGAAGTGATAAAAATGATTAAGAAATGCTGTGTCCTCTGTTAATTCCACGAACAAACTGTTGACAAAAGCCAGGACTTTGGAAAACGATAGAGAATATTTTCTACAGACTTCTTTAGTTTCATGTCATCGCTTTTGATTGTCTTTATTTGCAATATGTTAATAGGTATAATTTTTATTTTAAAGTCAATTATATTCTACAGGTGATATAAAGATTTCGCAGCGACAATTGTACAACTTAACAGATTCTCTCAGCATAAGAAATTAAAAGTCGAAATTTGTCACCTCTGGTATCAAATTAGAATACAAAAATCCTTAAATAATTTAGTAAGATTTACTTAGTCAAATAGAAGCGGACATTGTAGGCGACGGGGTGAGAATCTGTCTCACAATTGCGTCTTCTTAATTACTATTTTAAATTCCGGAGATAAAAGCATTTTGCGTAATTTTGTTCCACAAGGGGTCAGATTGGTGCAGGCAATACAGTTATGATTGAAGAGGTGTCTTTATTTTGATGAAAAATCTCTTTCGAACATGATCGAACGTATCCCTCCTCAACTTTCACCTATTGTTCACTTACCATCACTCTGTTTTGTGTCATCAATTCAAACATTAGACTACTGTCTGTTCCACATTGGTTCTTTTTTCTTCAGTATGCCTTCTGAATGTTATATTCGCTAGATATTCTTTCCTCACTTTGTTTCCCAGATATTTCAGTTGTGCTTTTCTACAGCTGTATTGAGTTTCTGTTTTCTCAAGACTTCATCCTTGCTTGTTCGGCGCTAGAACCACGGTTCTATCGCTTCAAGTCTTTTCTGCATCTGTGAAGTTATTGTCCAGAATGCTTTGTCATAGAAAAGACAAGATATTACACAGCAGTTCAGCAATCTTTTCTTTTTAACTTTCTAGCGATAGTTTGTGTACGACATATTTCACAATTCATATGTGCTAAATGCATATTATTACATAACCCCTTTTTTGCACTTGCCAGCGCCAAACTAATGACAGCGTATACAAATAACATTTTGTTTCGAGCAATGTTCACCTTGTGAAAGGGCTAAGAGCCACTCAGGGTAGAGAGTTACTGAATTATTAAGCATCAGTGTAAGTAGAGGTGATCAGTTGCACGGTTTATGAGCATTTATAAGACAAATGACTGTTATCCCTAAACTTGAAGAAGTTAAAATTGTAGTGATCGAGGAAAACCTTATATTGAGATTATTTACATCATTAACATTATTTGGACTCTTTTATTGTCACAATCACGACGTTTCGGCCGTTTTACGCTACGGCCTTCTTCAGGTAGTAGGAATTTCGAACTTAACTCTTTAGTTCTTCTACCGGAGTAGATTGTTTTAGTTCCACGTGACATGCCTCTTCCAGATGCTTTAGTTATCTCCCTTTAGCACAACTCTTCATGTTTGTGTTCGCTACTGCAGTTGCCAGGTACTGAGTTCGCTACTCTTTGGGCCAAATCAATGGATGCAACCAATGTTTTTAGCCACTGGGCCATGTGTCCTTGATGATAATTAATATATAGAAAACATAACCCACACAAGAATCGCATCACCTAATTTACCAGGAACTCTTGCGGTATGGAAAACATCTTGTCTTCTCCCTTGAAGTTCTTTCAAAGTCTTGTTTTGGTATAGTCACAGGGTGTTAAGTCAAGACTCCTGGCTGGTCACACATTTTTTTTTTAAGCGTTTCACCCCAAGCAAGGCGGGAAGCCACTAGGACGCAAGGGATTACAGAAAATTTGGAGCAAGGTCAGATAGGAGTGATAGAAGAAAGGATGAGGAGAAGTGGATAGATCAAGGCAACTGGAGATACAGAGGCCAGTGAGAGAGAGAGAGAGAGAGAGAGAGAGAGTACCGGAAACCCCTTCCTAAACAAGAAACAAGTCGTAAGCCTCTACTCATGTCCAAGAGAAGAGGGAGGAGTGTTGACCGGGTGGTAGGAAAGCCTACCTACTCCTATTACATATAACACATACAACAACAACAAAAAAAGGTAACGATGAGAGGGGGAGGTAATTTGCAAAGAGTCCTG